ACTACTAGTAATGGAGGCTATACTACGCTATCCCAATAAGGGGCCTGGCCCTGACGGGATCCACATCCTCCTCCTGAAGGCCGCAGTGGAGTGCTCCACCAAACGCACGACACTAGGACGCCCCGACGCAAATAGCCCACTGATTAGACTCCTTGCCGAAGCATTCACTGAGCTACTGAAGGCGGGTACCTTCCCTGCAGCCTTGAACTGCAGCCTCCTAGCAGCACCCCCGCCGACTTCCGCCCTATCACGCTAACGCAAATAGTCAGACGCATCTTTGAAAGTGCTTCCAAAAGCTGATAACGAGCCACCTCGGCTCTGCTATCCATGCTACCCAAGCTGGCTTCAAATCACGATACTCCAGTCATACCCAAGCACTCGCCGCCATGGAATCTGAGACGCAGTCGGAAGAGGAGTGGAACGACGTCTGTCTGGACATTACCAAGGCATACGACAAGGTTGCTCTCCCACGCCTATGGGTACTCCTGTGCCACGCTGGAATGCTCGAAAACTGCATCAACTGCCTCCGCGCGCTATTTGAGAGGGTCTCTATCCGAGTGATGTACCGCGGTACGCTCTCGCCTTTATTCCATAGAACAAATGGCATCCAACAAAGATCAATCGTCGACCCCCAGTTCTTTATTATCTACATAGATTTCCTAGCTGTCACGTTAGCTTCATTTGTCGACGACACACGGATCCAAGCCCCCCAACCAATTCCGCTCCAGCCCTTCTGAGACGACATTGATGCGTGAGGATGCAAATCTGGCCTCGAGCAGGGTGACATCAAACACCGAGTACGATCTACCGACTTGCGACACGCGGCGCCAACCCTCCGTATAAATGGTGAGCTTATCACGCCAACGCTCGCAAATTCACCTTGGAACACACGCTACCTCCCCCTGAAGATGACGTCCACACATGCCAAGCCTAAACTCTCCAAATATCTGGGGTTCCCACTCTCTCACGAAATAACAGGGATCAACCTCGCCAGACATATGGAATCCCTGGTTGCAGCATTGTCCCTGAGTAAAGCATCTTTCTGGCCTTATGGCTTCTATGGCTTCCATGGCTTCAGCTGGCGACACCCCCGCAACCGACTGGTGCTATTCAAAATATTCATCCTATCCACGGCTACATATGGCCTGAACATTATTGCCTGGGCTCCGCCTACATGGAAGGATGCGTTGGACCCTCTGTTCGACCGCTTTAACTCAGCACTCATCTAGGCAGCAGCCATCATCACGGGCACTAAATACTCTCGGTTTCCCAAACATCAAACAAACCTACTCCACTTTTGTGGCCTGCTCCCCGCGTGACCATTCGCGAACTACCTCGGAGGTTGCCTAGGAATATAACTCGACTCAATGGCCAGCACATATCTACTCGCCCCTCTGACGCAACTCGCCTGGGCCCACGACAAACCATCACTGCTCTTCCCGTACAGTAACTATGCTCCCCTGAAAACTGTACACAAAACCACGGGCGGGCGTATACCCGACCATTTAGCCCCCGCCAACGATGTGACGACATTAGGACGCTGGTCCAACAAGGAAATCGCGGCAATGGCTCGGCGCCAATACTACTACCAACTGGTCATAGATAAACCGTCAACCTCAAATCGAGACAGAGCTAGACACGACAGCTTCAACCGCTGCTTCGAGCCCACACCAATCCGGCTCTGTGCTATGATTGTAACGAATATGTACATATTCAAATAGCTCGACTATCGCACTAACGGCTTTCTTTGCCCTGTCTGGCCCGGTGGCCACAAATTCACCACCAGCCATTTTACATGCATCCAACAATTGATCCGAAGCATTCTGGTAGGCCCGAACCTACATGCCTCCCATTGATCCTGACCTCCTCCAGCAATTACAGAAGCGCCACGACTTCCACGGTATCTAAACCCTCCACGAACACCTTGGATCTTTTATCCAGCATCCAGCATGTAGAATAACCCCCGTACACACACCCGTCTCTGACATATCAACAGATGTTCCCCATACCCCGGCTTATCACGCTGTTGAAGTACTACTTCCAAATTCCGGTCCAAACCAAGTCATTGCGCTTGTTGGTTCCGACTATGATACTTCTGACCCAGGCCAACCAGCACATACCGAGTGTATCCGTGGCCTGGTGCCGCATTGATTCACCCCCAACCTCGCTCCTCGACCGAATTATGACGGATAACCTGGTCCTACTCGGTATTTCTTACTCTGCACTAACCCATTCCACGGCACTTCACGGTGCAGACCCGATCCGTACCACAGAGGTGGGTACACTACTTAGTAGGTCAGCAAGCGAATACATGGCACACTCGATGGTGTCGGTTTCTTGTCAGCACCGGCCTGAATTGACCCAGCGCATATCCTCCATCGTCGACTCACTTGGCACAAGCTTCAAACGGGAATTTACTGACCACTTCTTCCCATCGATGTTTACCGAACCACTACAATGGCTATGAGAGCCATACCATATATACATACATTGTAACTTATCTCTTTTGAAATAAATAATATTATCCCTACCACCGGGTAATGTGAAAATATCCGTCTTTATGGTTTCAGATGAGTCATCACTTCTATCTTATTAAATTCTCTATTCCACTAATCATCCCGGTCGTCTGGTCCGGTCCTAAACTCCTCCTTCAGGTCCGGTCCAAAATTTCCGCCTACGGTACTTTATCCACAAGGCGCGTAGTGTCAGGGGCCTGCCTATGAAAAAATGTTGCAAAGCACGGCCGGCGAGTGAGGTAATGTGTGGGACGTCGGTGTTTGTCGCTCGGACCAGAATGTCAATCGCTTCAAGATCTGCCAACTTTTTGTGGTAGGAATACTAACTGTGCGCAATAGTACATTAATGATGGCACCCAAGTATTCTGTCTCTGTGACATTAGCGAATGTTTTCTCAAAGGCAACAGGTATGATCATTTTGAAAAAGAAAGCGAGCATGCGGGCGACTTCAACATTACCTCGGCCAGGGAAAAGTAAGGCAATAAAATCATCGACATATCACCATTTGCGCAGTTCAGCTTTGTAGAGACCCTTGTCAACAGCAGAACTAAGGCGCTCGAGACTTTGAGGACACATTTTATACAATAAGGGACGGCTCGTTCAAAGTAGACTTTTTCCTCGACTTCAAAGCCCAGGAGTGGTATATCGACGGCACGAATACGAATAAGGCGGAATGACGCCCTGATATCTATCACGGAGATAGTTAAGCCGCTAGGGCTTTGCAGCTACGACGAGATTGCGGTCGGTTATTTTGTCATTGATACTCATGTGACGAGGATATGAAAGATGGTGAATGTGTCTTTGATCCGTGTGTACTGTGTGTGTAAATAACAAAAAGATTTGACTGTTGTATGAGGTGATTTCTGTAGATTATGTGTTATATGGGCTGGTGAGTTGTCGGCTTCTGATATCTGATATTTAGGTGCTGACACTAAGCTTTTTGTCATACAATTAGTGAGGTATTACGTCATTTTGTTGTTGTTGCTATAATGGCCGATATCAGGGTTGGTTGTTCGTGATTGGTTGCCGACGTGTTGGGTGAATTGTTGAGCGTTGGCGTGTTGCATGGGATGCTAGTTAAAAGTGTGCCTGTTGATGGATGTTGTAGGGCTGCAGAAGTATTGACGAGTACAGTTCGTGGGTGCTTCCCCTATTGGTTACAATGGTGAGTCGCCTAGGACTGACACCAGTGGCTTTGTTCGTTGGGTTTCTGTTGGCCCATTGCGTTTTGACTTGTGTTAGGTTTCTGTTGGCCCATTGTTGCGTTTTGGCTGGTGTGGGGAGGCGTTGTTTCGTTCTTACTTTTCTGCGTCCACGTGGTGGAAGTTGAGGCCTTGTTAGCTTGGTTAGCCTTGTTAGCCTTGTTAGCGATGAGTTTTAATACCTTGATCGGAGCTAAGCTTGTGTTCACGTTTGTATCTATTTTTGTGATCTCCAGCTCTCTTGAAGGGACTTCGTTAGTAGGTGCGCTGTAGTGGTTCTCCATGTTATCGTTGTCAGGTTGAATTTTTGGGCATTCTGTTTTTAGAGAAATGGTCGCTTCTCTAGTGTAATTATGTGTCTGTGATTGCATCCCTATATACGTAGCTCTAGCTACCTACGACTACCCCTTCACGTGTACAATTCTAGTGCCGTGGCGCCGGCATCTTTTCCCTAAAGGTAAGGTTTATCTTTTCTTAAAAGCGATATGTATTCAATTTTTATACAGTTGCCCTATATATATATATATATATATATATA